ACATATAACCTCCTCCCTGGGGGATGGACAACAGAAAAGTGGGTGAAGGGAGACGTCGGACAGTGTAAGGTATGATAAAATAATTTATAAATTATCAAGGGTTCATGAGGGAGGGGGTAGAAAAATGAGCTGATTCTGGGAGCCCAAGCGGAATGCGAGTGTTTTGAGAATGATGAGGGCAACGAATGTATGTGTGCTTTACACAATTGATGCATGCGTGGAGTGTTATAAGAATTGTATTAGCCCCAATAAAATGATTTTTAAAAAAGAAACATACAACTTTCTTATAGTTCTTTAATACTTCTTTCCCCCCACTATCACAATCCCAATTTTATCTTACAAGTCCGGCTAGACAAGAAGTTACAGGTAGGAACTGGAAACACAGGGAATCCAGGACAGATGAAGCCCTCAGGACAGTGGTGAGAATGGCAATACCAGGAGAGTGGAGGGAAAGTGGAGTAGAAAGGGGGAACTGATTACAAGGATCTACATATAACCCCCTTCCTGGGGGACAGACAACCGAAAATTTGGTGAAAGATGTTGGGCAGTGTAAGACATGACAAAATAATAATTTATAAATTATCAAGGGTTCATAAGGGAGGGAGGAGAAAAAGTGAGGAGCTGATACCAAAGGCTCAGGTAGAAAGCAAATTTTTTGAAATGAGGATGGCAACAAATGTACAAATGTGCTTGACAGTGGATTGTGATAAGAGTTGTATGAGCCCCCAATAAATTTTTTAAAATAAATAAAATTAAGGTTATTGACACCTCACTTGCTCATTTAAAAAAAATAGATCTTGGTCTGAAATGGTGGAGGCTATTGAGACCAAATGCATCATAGACTCTGGCACAGAGACTCAAAAGAGTAGTGCTGAGGGTATGGGCTACCTTCTCATCTGGCTTGAGACTATGGCACTATTTGACAGAGATGACAGGTGGGCTGGCTTCCAGGCCTATGGAGGCAAAGAACAAGGGGCAAGTTGGTCAGGAGAATGAGAACTGGAAAGCAACTTAGTGACCCCTTGTCTGAGAATCTGAGATCCAGAAAGATAATTTGCTGCTGGCTGAGGAGACCAATAATTGTATCCTTACTGTGTGCTGATTCTGACTGTGATAACCTATTAACTTCCCTAATAAACTCTTTTAATTGCATTGTCTCTAAGTTCTTTGTGGCAATTGCAGCAAATTATTGAACCTTGCATATCTGCAGAATGGCATGGGAGGTGTGATTGGTGTCAGAATAGGTAAAGAAGGATGGAGCTCAGAGGCATATCTGCCACATAGAAATGGGGAAGCCAGAGGAGAAAATAAAGATCTACCATTTTGTGTTTTATTGCCAGCTATGGCAGTTACATGATCTGGTGTCAACTTGAGACTATTAAGAGTGAAGGGGTGAAGTCTAGCCTGTCAATCAGGTTGCAGTTTAATGACCTTGTGTGGGAGACACAAATGGAGATAAATAGCTCACTGGAGGCCAGATAAAGGTTCACTTGCTGTGAGACTTTCTTGTTGAAAAGTCACATGGAGTTACGCTGATACAGCCAGACCCCTGGAGCTAGAGGAGCCACATGGAGACCCAGGCCAGTGCTGAGCTGCTTCCACCACCACTGGATCTACCAGAATTTCCACCGACTGGCCTGTGATTTTCCTGCATT